GCACCGTGCTGCGAGTGGGATGTGAGTGTTGCTGTGGGATGTGAGTCCCGCAGCCTCTTCCACAGCTCCCCTTTGTGCCTCAGCTCCCTCTGCTGCTCCCCGAGGCTTCCCAGCAGGGAGGTGTTGGTGCCTGGCACAGGAATTCCAAGCTTTGGGAAGATGCAGGAGGCTCAGCAAGTGGGAGAAGACAAGGCAGTTGTTATTGCATGGGGACATGAGGGTTTAGGATGCAAAGTGCATTCATTGGGGTTAGGCAGAGGTGGGAGCTGACTTTTGTGTGTGTGAAAACCTTTTGCTGGAGGCAGAAGGGATGAAAGAGCATGAGGAGGAGGGAAGGCTCTGTGCTAAGAGCAGCAGGGTTTAAAGCAGTTAAAGATGGAAAAGTGCAAGTTATTTTGCTGAGCCAGGGGTCGATGAGTGTACCTGGAGAGGTGGAAACTGCAAAGGCTCTGACAGCTTTGGAAAAGCACCAAATGTGGCTCTTGTAACTTGTCGGGGCACCCAGCTCATTGGTTTTGTAGCCCCATCCCTTCTCCAGGTTCAGCCACAGGGATGCTGGACCTGCCTGAGCCCTTTCTCTGCTGCTCTCTCCTCCAGCTGCCCCTCACTTTCCTGAGCCCCTGGGCGACCTGGAGGTCCAGGTTGGGGACAGAGTGAGCCTGCCATGTCGTGTGGAGGGATCTCCCCTGCCCCAGGTTACCTGGACTCGGCAGGATGGGAAGCCTGTGGTGGGCTGGCACGGCCCACAGGATGTTTCCAGCCAGCTGGAGACTGCCCAGCTCCTCATTGACAGTAAGAGCTGAGTGTGCATGCATTTATTCGTATTTTTAACTCGTGCAGGGTGTGCAGCAACAGCCTGCAAGAATCCAGCTCTGAGGGGTCTGTCCCCACTGGAGATGGTGCTGGGGCCAGGGAGGGTGGTCCCTGCCTTGGAACTGGCTCAGGGCTCTCCAGCCCCACCAGGCTGAGCTTTCTCCCCACTCCCCACCTGTGCTCCAGGTGCCTCGCTGGATGACCAAGCCACCTACATCTGTGAAGCCCAGAACGAGTTTGGGAAGATCCAGGCAGAGGTCAAGCTCACAGTCACAGGACAGGGTTTGTGTTTCTGTGCTTTGGTCGTGAGTCCATCCCAGAGTGCTGGCAGGGCTGAGGACAGAGAGCAGAGCAGCTGTCTCTGGTCCTGAGCTGGCCGCAGTGAACACTCAGAGACCCCAGGGCAGGGTTTGGGCAATGCCCTTCCAAACCCTCTTTGGCTTTGTGTGCTGCCATGGACCCACACTGCAGTGAATATCCCCAAATCCCTGGGGAGTGGCATCAGAGCTGGCTTATGCTGAGCCATGTCCCCTTGGAACAAAGGTGATCTACCTCCATTCTCCTGAGTGTTCCTGGCCAGCTTATCACTGATTAATGCTGGTTCCCTTTCCCCTCTTTGAACAGCCCCAGAAATAGCCCTTGCATCCCCCGTGGTCCGTGTGCTGCCAGGCCAGCCCGTGTCCCTGCCCTGTGTGATCCTGGCTGGGAGCCCCTTCCCTGCCCGCCGCTGGCTCAAGGATGGGCACATGGTGAGGATTCCATGCCTGCTGGGACCCTGCCTGGGTGGGTGGGCACCTGCCCCATTGAGGGGGCTTCACTGCAGGATGGCTCCCCCAAGCTGATGATGAAAGACTCCAATGGAGCATTTGTGTTGGGAAGGCAATGTGGGTTTATCTCCACATCAGGGTGTTGCTCAAGGACTCATCTGGGGAAGGCTTTTGGACTTTTAAGATGAAAAATTCCAATTCTCAGTGCTTTTTGGTGAAAGAATCCTTTCTGGATGTGCCCCAGAGATGCAGAGATGTGCTGGTGTTTCACCCTGCCATCTGTCCTGCTCTGCCCCATGTCCAGGTAGCCCCAGGTGGCCGCTATTCCATGCGGGCTGACGGGAGCCTGCACGTGGAGCAGGCATCTCAGGGGGATGCAGGAACCTTCACCTGTGAGGTGACAAACGCCCTGGGCTCACACAGGCAGGATGTGACCCTGGTCATCCACGGTGAGTGACAGGGAGCTGGGTGTCCCCTCTCAGCAGTGACACAGGGCCGTGCTCTCTGTGCTGGATGTAGTCCTGGCCATGTAGGACAAGGTTTCTCTTCCTTCCCAGCTCCTCCCAGCATCGAGCCTGGCCCTGTTCTGGTCACTGCCACCGAGGGAGCTGCTGTCACCCTGCAGTGCAATGCCACTGGTGTGCCACGCCCCACTGTCACCTGGGCCAAGGTAGGGGACAGGGACAGGGGCTCTGTGCCCCTGCCAGCCCAGCTGGGGCCAGCCTCGGGTTTAGGGAATTGTGTTTGGAGGGGTGGAGCTCTCCAGCTGCCTGGGGAGGTGGCACCAAGTGCCCCGGGGAGCTGGGACCAGGGCATGGCCTGCTCTGATGTGCCCAGAATTCTCTTCTTGCCTTTGGGATGATCATGGGAGAATCTCTGCCTTCCTCCCTTCCCTTTCCCCTGCAGGGCACAGAGCCCATTTCAGCGAGCCCACACTACCAGCTCGACCCCGATGGGACCCTCCTGATCCCTTCATCATCCCCTGGGGATGCTGGCACCTACTTCTGCACAGCCACCAATGCAGCAGGGTTCTCCAGCAGGGAGATGCAGCTCTCCATCAGCAGTGAGTGCTCAGGACAGCTCCACTGGGGACAGGCAGGGAGAGAGAATGACCTGGGAACACTCCTGGCTTCCTTGGAGCACCAGCCCAGGTGCCAGATGGGTTTGGAGGATGGCAAGAGGAGCAGTGAGGGCTCTGAAGTGTCCCTGCACCAGCTGTGCTCTCTCTTCATGCAGCAAAGCCCAGGATCAGCGTGAATGGATCACAGACACTGGAGCCTGTGCCCATCCTGGCAGTGCTGGGGCAGGAGACCACCCTGCCCTGCGAGGCCCAAGGGCTCCCCCCTCCCCTGGTGGTGTGGAGCCGGGAGCCCCAGCCCCTGCCCCTGGCCAGCACCAGGTAAGGAGCGCTCTGGGTGCTGGGGCCATCATCTCCTGGGGTTTTGTGTCTCTTCGGCTCCATGGAGGGACTGAGCTGCCTGGCAGGGGGATGTGAAGGGCACCCCTGGCATCCTGTGGGCAGTGCAGGAGCTGAGGCAGTGAGCAGGGCTGCATTAGCTCTGCTCTCCTTGGAGAGCACCAGGCTTTTCTTCCACGTTCCAAACATCTGGGACCGAGCAGCTGCTTCCATCGCTCATGTGCCTACCCTGGACATGGGGCTGGGAAGGAAAGGCAGCTCCAGTGCAGCTCCTCAGCCTGCTGTCTGTCTGTCTGTCTGTCTTCCTGCACATTCCTGCCTGGTGCTGTCACAAGGTCAAGGATGTGCCTGGGGATGGTGGATCCCTGTGGGAAGTGTTGGACCAGGGCCTGATGCTTCTTGGGATGAGGTTTGGCACAAACAGAGTTGTTAGCCCAGCAGTGGCTTTGTCTGCCCTGGGATGTGGTATTTAGGCTAGTTTTGTTCCAGTAAGCGACTTCTGGGGGACAAATCAATTTGCTGATGGTGTTGAAGCTGATGACAGCCATGAGACAGTCAGTTCATGTGATTTGATGGGCGAGGGTAAACTCATATCCAACCATTCTTTGGGTTAGCTGGTGTCTTGGTCTTCCAATGCTTTCCCCAAATGTTAGCACCATGTTGGAAGGGATCCCTAAAGCCACAGGTCCTGGTCTTGGGGTTAAACACTTCTTACCTATACCTGAGGATTGCTGGGGAAGCAGGAAGGCAGCTTGGGTTTGCTTTTCTTGGGGGAGGCATTGCCTTGCTGTTCATGTCTGGTTTGCCATGGCTGCTCCTGGCTGTTCACACACCCTGTCCCCGTTTCTGCTCCCCCCATCTCAGCTGGCGTGTCCATGCTGGGTGATTGATGGAGCACACCAGGAGCGATCTGCAGCCGTGGGCTGAGATGAGGTTATGTCTGTGGAGCACAGATGGGGCTGGCAATGAGAGCATGGCCAGCTCCAGCTGCAGGGGCTGTGCTCTGGGGGGACCCCGCTCCTCCTGCATCCCCCTGGGCTCCTGTGCTGCCTCGTGCAGGGGCTGAGCAAAGGGGGTTTGCCCCCATGGGCAGCTGTGCCACTGTGGTGGTGTTTGCAGGGATCCCAGGATGGGGGAAGAGATGAGAATCTTGACTCTATGTTTTAGAAGGCTGATTTGTTATTTTGTGATATATGTTATATTAGAAGAAAATATATTTATACTAGAAGAATAGAAGAAAGGATTTCATCAGAAGGTTGGCAAGGAAAGGAAAAGAATGATAATAAAATTTTGTGACTAACCAGATAGTCCAAGACAGCTGGGCTGTGATTGGCCACTAATTAAAAACAACCACATGAGACTAATCAAAGATGCACCTGTTGCATTCTACAGCAGCAAATAATTATTGTTTACATTTCGTATCTGAGGCTTCTCAGCTTCTCAAGAGAAAAACCTTAGCAAAAGTATTTTTCAGTAAATAAGTTTGTGACAGTGCCACCCTCTTTGAGTGGGACGTGGCCATGGTGAGCTCTGAGCCCTCAGTCCTGCTCAGGGTTGGGTGATAGATGACATGGCTGTTTCTCCCATCCAGCTTTTCTGTTCCTTCTCCCCCAAGGTTCAGCATCCTCCCTTCAGGATCCCTGCACCTGGCTGAGCCCCAGGTGACAGACAATGGCCTCTACACCTGCACGGCCACCAACGCTGCGGGGAGCGCCTCGCTCAGCTACAGCCTGCACGTGCAAGGTTCAAACACCCTGCCCATGTGCCCCATACCCCCCAAACCCTGGCTGTGTCACATCCTTGTGCCAGGGAGGAAGGATGGGCACAGCCTGAGGTCCCCTCTCCCCCAGCTCCGCCCCAGCTGTGGATTGGTGATGGGGAAAGGCACCTGGCAGCTGTAGCCAACACCTCCCTGAGCATCCAGTGTCACACCAGGGGCATCCCCCCAGCCCAGATCCAGTGAGTGCTGCAGTGCTGAACTCCCTGTGCTCCCAGGATAGGTGGTTGGGGTGTCCCTTAAGGTGGAGGCATCCATTCCTTCTCCTTGTCCCCGGTGTCCTTTGCTGGCACTGCCAGCCCCATTCCAGGGGACAAGGGGACAGCCCTTGCTGCCAGCACCCCGTTGGTGTGCAGAGACAGGGTGTGGGTGGTTGCTGCCTGTCCCCTTGCCCGCAGGTGGCTGAAGGATGGGCACCCTCTGGACGGGCAGGACGGCGTGGTGGTGTCCCAGGATGGTGGCACTCTGCTGCTCACACGAGTGGGGCTTGGCCACCAAGGGCTCTATGTCTGCCAGGGCAGCAGCTGGGCAGGGCTGGCCCAGGCAGAGGTGCAGGTTTCAGTGCATGGTGAGTGCAGGGTCTGGGGTGAGGGGGGATGTCCATCCTGTGTGTTGGGAGGAACGTGGCTGCCCAAAGGGGTGCGAGTTCTTGGCCCAGATTTTTGGTAGGTGCTGTGTCACTGGCTTGATCCCTTGGGATCTTGTCCTTTGTCAATGAAGCTGAGAGGTGATGGCATTGGCACCACAGTAAATCCCTGAGTGGTGTTTCCTGCTGGAGGGTCCTCCCCCAGCCCCATTTCCCGCCACCAGCAGGATGTGGCTCTGAAGGTGCCAGGTGAGAAACCAGGCAGGGAGCAGAGATCCCTCCCTGGGAAGAATGGATGTCTCATCGTGGCAGGGACCAAACCTCTGGCTGGTTTGGGCAGCAGTGGTGGCACCATGGGGGGATGTGTCCCCTCCCAGAGCAGGGACTGGGCTGTGCCCCCGGCTGCTGCTGTGCCAGGCCTTGGTGTGTGCCAGGAGCCCTGGGTGAGCCTGGCTGTGCCCCGGGGCCCTGCCCTGTGCTGGCTGCAGGCAGACAGAGCCGCTGACAGCGCTGCTGGGTTGCAGTGCCTCCCAACATCGAGCCCAGCGCGGTGGATCTGACCATCCCCGAGAACAGCTCGGCATCCCTGGAGTGCCTGGCCTCGGGGCTGCCCGCTCCCGGTGAGTCAATCC